ACATGAGAAACAGGCTGTTGCTGACTGCTCATGATCTCGGCGGTCGATCTTCGAGAACTCGAGCGAGATCCCCGTCGACGAGATGATTTCCGGGGACTTGAGCGAGGTGATGACTTGGCGAGATGTCGACGGTGCTGTTTCTTTCTCTTGGGTGATCTCCTGGAAGGATGAGGAGATGAATGAGGAAGTGGGCGGGACATAGAGACTCTTTCGGGTGTATCATAGCCACGTTGTTGACGCCCTCCTCGATCATCCTCAGAAGACGAAGAAGACACGCCCTCGGAGCCGACTTCGCTGCCATCGCCACATTCAGAATCAGATTCAGATTCGGATACGCAGTCGATTGCTATACGGCGAGCGCCGGTGTTTTCAGATCCATTACCACGCAGAAATGGGAGGCCGAAGACAGCACTCAATAGGTCGACATCATAATCCGACCGATTGCGGCGGCGGCGAATAGCTTTGTTAAAGATGTTCATTACGCTGCAGCCAGTAGAAGCCTCCTGAGAGATAGAAAGGCAGTGTCCTCGGTATTCGTCTACAGATGGCGATTTGGTGGTGGTATAGAGAGTGTTTGTGGGAGGGTATATGAGAAGGAGAGTGTGCAGTTATGGGAGAGGAAGAAAATCGTTTCTGTAAGGTCCTCAAACAATAAACACAGAAATTTCTTCGTTTGCTTGTGGGCGCGTCTGGAAAAGGTGAATAGAGGTGGTTGTTGTGACGGCCGTTGGCAGCTGGCAGGAACTGTCACTTGTTTCTATAAGTGGCAGCTTAGAGACCACCGAAATAGGGCAGACAGTACTCAAAGCTCGCAGATTCTTTCTTGAACGAGTCTTTGGTTATAGTAACCAAGAGTTTGTCTTGTTTCTAAAAAAGGAGGTAGTGAAAGAAAAGTTCAGCTTGATGCTCTTGTCTAATATTCGACCGACGAAGGGACTTGCTAACGCCCGTCACAAAGGGCGCTTCTAATGATTCGGATCTAGAAGATTATTCCTCATAGATATTCATAATTTCTGCTCAAGGCCTGCAAGACGCAAGGGGTGTTGTTGCTCCTGCACGCTTATTTTCGAGGCAGTTCCTAAAATGTCGAGACAACAGCGTAAGCACCAGAGAAATAACGAATCTCTGTCAAGGAGAAGAGGATGATGACATTGAGTATAAAGAACAGAGAAAATATGAAGATGGGACAGGACATCCCCCTCTCTTGTAAGCGAATTTCTGTTCGGGCATACCGACAAAGTCACCAACTTCGTTATCAACGTTGACAATCAATCTTGCCCTTGTATTCGGTCGTTTTCAAGCTGGCAAACGACAATTCCCTTATTTCCCCTCTTCTCTTTCCTTAGCTTTGTCAAGCAAACATGCCAAAGTCTTTAATGCCACTCTTTGTTGCCGCTGATAGATCATTGACATTGGATGTCATATGGCAGCAAACACACTTAACATTGTGCACTAGTTGCTTCGACGGTACTTACATGAGATAGAGAAATCTCTTTTCCAACCAAATACTACACTGATATACATATTGAATTCAATTTTGTCTAAATGCGAGCTAAACCGGGAACCTTTATCCTTTCTTCCTAGGCTCCAGCACCAAAAGCTCCTTCTCCATCTAATCCACACGGAGGACCCGGGCGCCTCGCTTTTGAACCGCCTTCTTCTTCTTCTGCCCACGGCTGAAGGCACCCGCTTCAAAATGATCACGGCCAACGTTGTCAAGATCCTTGACCTTGTAAATACGGATGAGCCAATTCTCACTGGTAAAGGCCTCTTCCAGTACATCGAGTGTGGGGCTTGTATCGGGCATCTTAACACCACGCACTCGATCAACGATCTTTCCAGGTGAGTTCGTCTTGTTAAAGTTGTGGTAAGACATCTTGTACCTGAAGGCAGCCTGTTAGCATGGTGACAAGTCGCTGCGCGGAGGTTTACTTACATCAAGCTGTTCTTCATGGTCTCGGTAGCGCCGGCATCAACTCTGTATTCGCCGCGTTCAGTGAAGAAGTTGCGCTCTTTGACCTCATCAGGCCAGATGCCCTCCGCAATGCGAACCATCCAGAGAAACTTGTTGATATCATCTCCAGAGTAGCCAAGAACGCCACCAAAGACGACGAGGACATAGTCAACCTCGTGCTGGCGCATGATGGGATAGCTGACCTCCTCGCGAGAACTCATGGCCTTTCCAACAGTAGCGATATGGGTGTTGTTCCAGGTGTTGTTGTCGACAAGCGTTGGTCGGTCAGCCATACCACCAATCTGATAACCATAATCCCACCATGACATGATCTTGGCGTCTTTGCCGGTGTTCTGTCGGAGCCACTGATAGGCCTCACGATAGTCATCAATGATGACCGCGCTGCCATCCATGCGCCGACTGGACAGGACAACAGACGGTGCTGAGTAGGCGTTGGAGGTGACCCATGTGCAGTGAGTAACAAACATGACCAGGTAGATGACCATGCCAGCAACAACCGTAATCTTGGACAAGTTAGTGTAAACACCAACTTCGGGCTTTGCGGTCGCTCGAAGTGCACCCTTGGCCTTCTTGGATCCATCAACGGCCTCTCCTTGTGCAGCCTGGGTTGGCTCAGGCTGATTGACCCGGAGATAGGTGTCGAGGAGCTGAGAGGCAGCCATGGCAGCGGCAACACACACAACAGGTGTCAGTGTGAGCATAAGACGGACCATAACACCAGCAAAATAGCTTGCAAACAGAGCATAGACAACAATGAAGACATGCTCATCCGCGAGGTTCTGGAAACACATATAAACACCAGCAGGGAAGAGCCAGATGAGGAAGTTAAGATCAAAGAAAAATGAGGGCCATGCGGTAGGCTGATGCTCAGAGACTGAAGCAATGATGGGAATGTGGATCTTGGCATAGCCAGTGTCGAACAATGAATAGAATCGACCGCCCCAGGGCGCGATGTATCCGAATGAGGTCAAAAGAATGAGGCCAGCGAGACCGACGAAGAAAGTCGCTACACCAGCGGCAACTACGATAGTTGTGATCTGTCGTCCAGGGATAACAGACTTGACGTAAACAATGAATGCAATCACCTGAAGGAGGCCAAAAACACCTAAATGATAATGTTAGTACCATGTGTCGCAATGAATGTTTGTGTACACACCAAGCGCGGGCATGTGCTCATTAGTCTTGACACAAAGGAAGCCGACGAATGGCACCTGGAAACTAGCCATAGTACCGATAGCGTACCACGTCGTGTAGCTGATATAGAGGCGATCACTGTATCGGCCCATGCAGATGAGAACGAAGGCATGGACGGGCAGTAGACATGTAATGAAAGCATATCCACCCCACGACGCAACCATGTATGCGTATGATAGTGCGCAAAGGGCACCCCACAGCATCGAACCTAGCTTCAAGGCCTTGACCCAGAGGTAGAACGTGAGGACAAGAAGGAAAATGGCAATGGCCTCGTTATCGTAGCTACCGGCCACGGATCGAGAGATGTAACCAGGTGCAATGCCCATGAAAACTGCGGCAAGAAGACCAGCGGAAGAAGATGTAGTCATCTCATTGGTAAGTAGGTAGGCAGCATAAGCTGTCAGTCCAGAGAAGGCCGGGGCGAGAAGGACACAAATGTTTCGAATATCGACTGGGACCGTAAGGGCGCGGAGAGCGTGGTAGATGACGCCGCTTGTCACCATCAGACCAGGATAGAGGGTGCCTCCGGTTACCCGCCCAAGAGGATGCCATGTCCTGTCATCGAACCAATCCCAAAACTTGTAAAATCCATTGGCGACGAGGTATTTCGTCGCGCGGAAGTTGAACCACGGGTCGACTGTCTTAAACGTTAGCTCGTCATGATTGAGCAATCTGTTAGTATGAGCGGGACTGACATTCGTGAATAATACTTTCGAAGCCTGCGGCGGATGAGTTAGCAAAAGATTCATTCCTAATAGAAGAGGAGCCTCTGTGCTCTGGAGACAGAAAAGACAGAGCAGGAATTGAGGGCATTCGCCCATCATGGGTAGAAAGCACTTACGTATCACAGAAAAAAGGCGACTGGACACAGCTGCGCCAGCGATCAAGAGAAGAATGATGACTCTTAGTAGAGTCCTAGTGTTTTGTCCGTTCACTCCGGCGAGGACGTCTTCGGTCTTTGCCGTCTTTACCGCCATGATGGGTTGCGATTGTCGACGATATTTGACCCTGGAGTTGATGCAACTTGCAGAAGCCGAAACCCAAGATGATATTCAACTCCACCAGAAGGACAGCTTGGAGCTTTACACTGAGACGGGGAGCTACAGGAGGTAAATGTGGGACCCTCCCCGACATAGGTACGTATCCTTTACGCGGCCGTGCATCCACTCGATGGAAATGGAACTTTAGCAAGGTAATAAGGTACCTCTCAATCTTACCTATGCCCGTTAGGTACTGAGCCACAGTTTATCCGGCCAAGCTCTGGCGTATCAAGAAGACAACCTATGGTGATCAGGCCATTCTACGTCAATTTCGATGAAGTTGACCAGGACAGCATGCAATATAGGTGAACGGCGTGCTAAATCACATCTACATGTCACTCTACTGGTCACAGAAACCGCCTCGAGCATCAGAATCGCTTATCGTAGTCCTTGCTTTTTACTGTAAAACTAAACATACATACATCCGTACCTGATACACATCATAATATAAGCCCGCAGAGATAAACTTACTAGTTTTCCCGCTCCAAGTCTCCCATTGCATGCCCAAGTGTTACAAGTCCTAGCCAAAACCATTGACGTTTTTCTTGTCGTCTAAAGTAGATATATTGTACACCTGTACACAGAGTTAAACAGGGACCTAAGGAAACATCTATGCAGGGCCGCCATGTATATCCTCAATCATACACCGAGTCTGGTTCGAGGCTCGGATTATGCCTCAGTAGGACCTGTTTCCCTACGGTTGGTCAACCTTTTCGCCGAAACCTCCCTTTGCTTCCATCGTCTCCCTTCCCATATCTTGCGTTGCGTTTCCCCGCGCCGGTATTACATATTTAAGGGTTCTCCTTCTGCACCTTCAACAGCAGCTTCTCGAGATCAAACTTGGGGTCTGAGGGGTCGGTGATCACTGCATGTATGGTTAGTTTGAGGTCTCGACAGGTTGTGTCTCGCATGTGCAATATGCCGCGGCCAATTGCCAGGAGTGTTTTTAGAGCGAAACTGGGTCTGACGTACCAGAGTCGCCAGATGCTGGGTTGTTCTTCTTAGCAAACTCGGCCTTGGCTTGCTGGATAAGCTTCTCCTTCTTCTCGTACTCGTGCTGCGCGTGCTCGGCCTTTTGCGAGGCAGTAATCGCTCGCTGGTGGGTGAAACCGTAAAAGATACCCAGGCCAAGGGCGGACCACCGCAAAACCTATAAATGACTCAATTAGTCCTCAAGTCCACGAACTATCCAATTCTGCCGCTCGAATAGTCGTATTCCCTGACGTAGTCGAGTGTTCGGGCTTGGGACACGGTCGAGCGGCCGAATCGGGGAGGATAACACGCACGTTCACTCCGGTCGAAGCCATTGGGAATTAGAGTCGCAAAAAAAGGGAGATCAGGACGAAGAGCGAAAGGATCGGTATTGACGATAGTCGGCGGTCGACAATGGCTTGTCAATGGACCCAGTCGGAGTGGCTCGAGGGGATTAGATGCGTCGGCTTGAGGTGAAGAAATGAAAAGTCGTCGGGAAAAGTCGCAGTTTTTCCATTCGCTGCCAAATAGAGCCAAACCGCTGGCGGCTGGGAGCTCGGACAAGCTGGAGCCAGTAGCCAGTGAGCCGGCCAGTGTGATCACGTGCCCGTCCTCATCAATTTCCATGCCAGCGATACGTACCGCCTTCAATCCACTACGTACTACCTTACCTTAGTAGGTTAGTACCTTATCAGTTTATTAGCCTTCAAACTTCAGGCTTGTGCAGGGGGTTATGGGGATTGCAAGTGCCTGAATCGCTCGCGCATGGATGGATTCAATTGGACCCCATCACAATGGAAGCTCATACCTTGCAGCATTTCATAACTTGATCACTACAAACAAGCAACGAAGAACTTACATACAGTCACCTCATTTTGTCGCGAAGGTTGACTTTTTATTTCGTGCGATTTTCTCGTCGTCTATTTCTTTTGCGAGACTTTATTTATCATCATTCGTCGCGTTGTCGATTCATACCCTCCCAAATCCAGTCTCATAGCTGTCAACATATTGTTCAGTCTCGCAATGCGACTGTGGAACGTCCGCAATGCAACAACGTCGAGATGAAATCCTAGCGAAGAAGGCGAAGCTTGCTGAGCTCAAGCGCCAGAGAGAGCTTCGGGCAAGCCAAGCAACAGCAAGCCGCTCCAACATAGGAACCTCTAGCGACGTTGGTCCCCTGATACCCTACCGCCTTTAAGCCCATCGTTGACGTTTCTCAACCATAGTTGATATCGCCAACCCCCGGAAGAGCAGATAACCGCCGCGAGATCGAAACTCTTATAAACAGCCTCGTCGGTGATAGTAGGCCCGGCTCGACTGTCACGGGAGGACCTGGCTCTCCGGCTCCTCGTGGTAGCCGCCCAAACAGTGTCCTCAGCGCCGGCGAAATTAGCAACGAACCCTCCGAAGTCACGACCACTAGTCACGTTCAAGTTCCTGCGCAACCGCCACCTAGTCTTAGCACTGCTCCCCTCCTGACCGTTTTCGAATGCCCACCGTCCCCGGTAAAGGAGGTTTTCTCATACAGCAAAGGTGTCCAGACGACAGAGGAGTGGACCACACCTACCAGAACCAGGGCTCAGTCTCTCATATCTGAAGCCGAAGATGTTCCCGCCGTAACTTCAACGCCCAGCAAGAGGCTGAGCAGAAGAGAGCGAGATCGAGAAGAAGAACTCCGACAAAAGATTAGAGAAGAGGTGGAGGAGGAATTGAGAGCGACAAAGGAGTTTCTGAGCGACGGTGTGCTTCCTTCCGGCTCGGCTTTGAATTATCCTTCCAGGAATCTTACCGCTGAAGAGCTGGACGCTGTCGCCCACTCTGATGAATTCGTCGACTTCCTGGATAAGTCGACAAAGGTGATCGAGAGAGCTCTCGATCAGGAGACATATGACATTCTTACAGACTATGCTTTACAAGGCCAGGATAACGATGATGAAGATGAAGATAGTGGTAACACAGGTGGTAAGGGGCGGCACAGGATAAAAGAAGTGGTCCAGTTCTTCGACGAGCGGTGGTCTAAGAAGCGCATGATCAGCGGAATTGATTTCTCGCCAAAGTTCAGCGAGCTTGTCCTCGCGTCATACACCAAAAACCCGACAGCTCCCCATGAACCTGACGGGTTGGTTCAGGTCTGGAACATGCACATGCAGGATCGCCCTGAATACGTTTTCACTGCGCAGTCAGATGTCTTGACAGCTAAATTTTCTCCTTACCACAATAACTTGATTATCGGTGGTTCATATAGTGGCCAGGTGTTGCTGTGGGACACGAGAGCAAAGGCGGCTCCGGTTCAAAAGACTCCCCTTACGGGCTACGGCCATGCCCACCCTATCTACTCTGTTGATATTGTTGGTACCCAGAACGCCAACAATATCATTTCTTGCTCCACTGACGGAGTGGTCTGTGGCTGGACAATGGACGTCTTTGCTCAGCCTCAGGAACTTCTTGAACTCAAGAACCCTAGTCAGGCCAAGGTGGCTGTTGAAGACGTGAGCCCAACGTGCCTTTCTTTCCCAGCTACAGATCCTACATTCTTCCTCGTTGGCAGTGAGGAGGGCACCATCTTCCCTTGCCACCGATATGACCGTGCCGGTGCCAAGGCTGGTGTTGATAGGAAAATCAGCTACAAGGGACATACCGCCCCTGTCATGTCTGTGGATTTCCATCCTGCTAGGGGGCCGGTGGATTTGGGCGATCTGGTCATATCGTCGTCGCTCGATTGGAGTGTTAAGCTTTGGAAGGTTCGAGCACCCGCGGCAACATCTACAATCGGCTCTGGTGATGGCACCATCTCGCCTCTAATTGACTTTGTGCGTGAAGACGTCGTCTACGACGCTAAGTGGTCGCCCGTCAAGCCGAACATATTTGCATTGGTCGATGGTGCTGGATGGCTGGAGCTTTGGGACATCGCAGTCGAGACGGAAGAGCCTGTGTCCAGGATTTCGCCAAGCTCTCGAAAGGATGGCAGAACTATGCTCTCAAAGAGTCTGAACAAGGTTGCATGGGAGCCCAATGATGGAAAGCGTCTTGCGACCGGTGGCATCGACGGCTCCCTCACAGTATTCGAGGTTGCGAGTGGTCTTGGTGGCAAGGATGGCCCCAAAAACGAGGACTGGGCGAATGTGAAGAAGCTCGTGAACCGACTGGAGGCAGTTGGTTCAAATGGTGCATTGATAGTTTAGTGATCTCCATTGGATGAAGTATTGGCAGCATAGTGGCGTGCGTTCTTGTGTTGCGAGGTAGCTAAGAGACGAATATATTGATATACCCAAGGCTTTTTTGGTTTCTGTCTTTCTTTTCACCAACAATTTAATTTGATGGATTGATCTCTAAGCATCACGATCCCGAGTTACTAGCCCCTGCTTTCATACTGGTAGTATTTTAGGAAACCCAACCCAGGAGTACAGTGTCACGTGCTATCTCCACATCAACAATATCTTCCTTTTATCGTGGAGCAGAAGCTCAACCTCAGTTTTAGCAATCTCGGCTTTCTAGTCGAGAGACTCTGCGCAACGATGAGCAGTCATCTGAAGAGTTTCTCTTCTCTCTAGTAGCCCATCACTCCAACTAGGTGCTACATAGGACCATAGATACAGTATGGTAAGTCACGGTCCTTTTGAAACACTCATTCAATCTTTCATGATGGCATTCATTTTTATGAATTCTGCAATTCCGAATGTCCTTTTGGTTTTGGGCAACACGTGGACACTTTACAGCTGAACAGCAATCTTACTACTCATTTCTTTCTCATTTCTGTCTTAAAACCGTGTTCTGACTCAACCACAGACTTGGTCACACAGTTAGGCCTCCATTGGCACGCCTTCAGGATACCGCCCGCCAGAAACTTCAAATGCATAGATTATATCCTCGAGGGTCGTCATCTCTTCCTCCGAAAGCGGGAAGTACTGGGCGTTCTCCTCGACTCGAGCTGTTGTGGTTGCGCCAGGGGTGGGAATGATGGTAGGCATTCCCTTGCGACTGTTTAGTCCTCTAACCCAGTTGATGGCAAGCTGTGCAGATGTGATTCCCTTCCTTTCTGCCACTGCCTTGACTTGGTCAACAAGCTTGAGGTTGTGCTGGAAGGATTCTGGCCGAAAACGCGGAAACCCGCTGGCAATGCCCTGGTCCTGGAATTGAGAGCTGTCGGCAAAGCGACCTGTCAACATCTGTAGTGACTGTTAGATCTATGCGGTTTAGATTTGAATGGGCGAACTCACGCCACGTCCAATAGGCGCGTAGGCCATAATAGGAATATTGTGCTTAGCACACGCCGCAGCAACGCCATTCTTGAGGATGTCGGGGCTGAACAGACTGCATTCGACCTCAACGAGAGCGACCTTGACATGCTTGATGGCTTCTTCGATAGTCTCGGCACTGCATTCTGACAGAGCAATGCCACCAACCTTGCCGGTATCAACATATTCTTTCTGAATGACGTTGAGGGTTTCTTCAAAGGGAACTTTGTGGTCTCGTCTTGAGGGTGCGAAAATATCAAGTTTCTTAACACCGCCCAGTTGATTTAGCACATTGTCAATAGACCTCCGTACATTCTCGGGAGATCCATCAAGTTGAAACGTATCAGGGTTGTAAGTGCCCTTTATGGCGATTGTGATCTTTTCAGCATCGTCTGGAAATTTTGTAAAGTATGCGTTGATGAGAGTCATGCTGTTATACTCTGGAGGTCCGTAAAATTCAGCGCCGCTCCAGAGATTGCAGCCATTGGCGAAGGCTGTGTGCATGGCTTCAAGAGCCTGATCTAAAGGAGTTGGTTTGGGATGCCAAGTGAAGCCTTCAAAGTTATCAGTCTGGTTGCTTTAAGTGAGTCGAACGACTAAACATACCCATGAGGCCGTATCCGAGAGCGCCGACATGCCTTCCCAGAATTTCGGCCATATTTGGTGTCGAGGATATTTGCATGCGTATGTAATCCAAACTAGAACTATATGGGTGGACTTGGTGATATCGCGTTGAGAGAGGGTTGTTAGACTCAGCAATCAATGAGGAAAGATGTGAAGGTACTTATACATCAGAAGGATTGGGTGATTGCATTTAATTCAAAGTTCTATGCGTCTATCTCGGTTGATTAATCACCCTCCATCTGACCTATAATGGTGTTGCTCGCCACACCCGTTGATCGGGATTGCAGCTCCAAAATGCTACATAAATCCGAGGATGCGTCTGACTAAACTTAAGTCCAGCTCGTATCCCGCAACGCGACGCTCTGTGAGTGAGCCCGAGGCCAACAGATCGAAGCTTGCTCTTTACGGAATTGTGTGCTGCCGAGGGGTCCCTTATGGAGATAGGATATTGGATAGTGCTGTTGATCCGATCTGATGCGAAGCAGGTCAGGGAGGTAGTTATCTGGAGGAACCCAGTATACGCAGCAAGCTGTCCCTAGTGCTGATACCATCGATATGGCGGTCATCACTCTCGTTAATCAAGGTCAATCAATATTCCCTCCTCTCCTCCTCTCTTTGGCTCAGGTTTAACCACTTCCTCCTCGACGTCTTCTTCATCTTCATACTCATCCTCAGCTTCGGATTCCTCTTCAAGGTTTGCGGAGTGCACATCTCGACGCTGAGCAAAAATTTGGGCTCGCTGCTTTCTTCGGAGGATATTCCCAATCTTCTTCGCTGTTCGTCGACCATGCGAAGCATCCGCTGCACGAAGGGCTTGGGGGGACATAGGCACCAATCCCTGTGCTTGAAGCCACCAACCAGGGTGGCCAGTTAGGCCAACTTCTCCGAGGCCTTCTGCAGTTGTTGGCATTACATGTTCATAGTGACAGTCTCGGCCCCATTTACAGACGCCGTGGTGACACCAGTGTCGACAGGGTGGGGGCAGTTGAGATGATGGCGCCGTAGTGTTGGTTGGAATTTGTGGTGTCTCTTTGAGGGAAGTAGACCTGAGATAGACTGGCTGCTGTTGGTTGGCGGGATTGTGGCGGCTAGATGAAAGGCCTTTTGCTGGCTTTAGCTGAGACTTCTGAGAATTAAGCTGAGTTGTAGTTGGTTCTGGTTTTGGTTTTGGTTTCTCATAGTAGTTGCGAGATGATGCACCCACTGGGCAAGGACCAGACCGGAACTCAGTGGCCCGCTCCTCCGAAGTGTCCGATTCATCACTAGTCGAAGCTCCATCCCTAGTAATGGGAGCGAATCGAAGCTTGTAAGTATCCAGCTCAGCATGAATAACCCCCAAATTCCCCATGTCTCTAGTCTCATCTGGGGACAAACTTCGAGGGGCGCCGATGACTTCGATCCACTCCGGCAGAAGGTCTGCCGGAATAAGGGGTACAGCAGTTGCAGGCTGAGAAAGAATTTGGCCGTTGGGCGTGATTTGCTCTGCCCCTGGTCTGACCAGAAAGAACTGGGGTTTGATTCCCATGTTGGCTGGAGAGTGTTATGTGGTCAAGGAACAGGAGAAAAGCGAAGAAGCAAGTTGTGGGATGTGAAATATGCTAGAGCAAGATTTCGGAGACCAGGTCCTGGGGAGCTCTCTTTATAGAATTTACGCATACAGCTTGTCAGTTTCCTGTTGTCTCATGGGCTCCCGTTTGCTGTGACACAAGTGAGCACGGACAGAGGCTCAGATGCAAACCGAGAAGGCTTTGTCACACCCAGGGGAGGCAACGAAACTTTATACCTATATCCCAAGTGACAAAAAGACCTAGCTAAGTTTAGTATAACTTATCGATCCTTTATAATAGCCATTTTTGACACCATCATTCAAGTTCAAGGGGTTTTCTCGCTCCATCAAGCACACTCACTTATCGAGCCTCCACACGAATCTTGACATCCAAACCATCTACGCAGTAACCTAGTTGTCTAGGTCCATCTTTGAGTTCTACTTCTCTTTTGACCCATCGTCCAGGTTTGCCTGCGGTGTCCTCCTCAGCAGCATGTGTGTCAATTCCTTTGCGTTCCCTCTCCTCTTCGGCATCCTCCTCGTCACTGCTATCGCCCTCTTGATCGTCAAAGCCAGCTACAGGGTCCCATTCTCCGGTTTCCCAGATAAGCCCGAGCTTGAGAGGCGACAGTCCAAACAGTTTTCCAGCGATGCCTTTGACGGCATAGATATCGTACGATTTGGGGATATTTTTCACTTTTTCCTCGCCACCTTGAAGATGGAAACCAACAGTAACTAGACGTGCCTCCAGGAAAGCAGGATTGACCTCCAACCTGCGAACAATATTTGGCTCGCCGTAGATTTTGCAAAGGTCGGCATAGCGAGGGTGATTTGCCAGGACTTCTTGTTCGGCGTCCTCTGGTGCAGCGGCGAGCTGTTTCGCAATCCGCGAAAGATAGAACATCTCAGCGTTACTTCTATCAGCCGGCGTGATCTGGCTGAAATTGAGGGACTTCAGTGACCCAAGACGGGCGACAGTAAACATGTGCGACTCATCCGAAGATGATGCTTTAGCATCAGCGTCCGCAGCATCGTAGAAGGGGTTGTGGCCAATTCGCAACCCAACTAGACCAGGGAAATGCTTGGGAAGCTGGTTCACAAATTCCCAGGATTGAATGTTGTTATAGGAGACATCGAGGTACTGGACAGTATCTGAGAAGATCGGCCCTTCTATACCTTCAGGGGCAATTGACGAAATGTTGTTCCCCTTGAGGTGGATGTTGCGCAGTGATCTGAGAGTTGCAAGGGTGCTGATGTCCACGAACGTAGTGAATTCGTTGATTTCGAGGTTGATTGATGTCAACGTGGACGAAAGATTGCCATAGTCTAATGCAGGGAGAGATTGAAATTGGTTTGATCCAGCATCAAGAGCAGCCAAAGATGGAGACTTTGTTGCGATGTGGCAAACTTCCTCCCAGCTCAGCAAGGTTTCCTCAAGCGAAAGTTCTTTGACGTTGTTTACAGCATCGTTTGCTTGGTCGTCTAAAACGTTTTGAAATCGATTCCCACTATAACTAGGTCAGCGACTTGTTTGCCTATGGCCAGAAGGTCATACTTGAGGGTCAGGTGCTGGAGATTTGGTAGCTCACGACAAATTTCGAACACGGGGTCAAGCCACTCAAATAAATTGCGACTGAGATCCAACTGCGTAATCTTGGGACACGTCTTTGCAATGATTCCCTCGCTCTCATCGTCTGCTCTCGCACTGGATACCTGGAGGTCCTCGAGAATCACCACAGTGAGCTCACCGATATTGGCTTGCTTACGGCGAATCTTCTCAAACCCCACCTCCTCGGCACGCTTCCCGAAAAACACAATCTCTTCTGCGGCCCTTCTACCATCTGGAAGCGTGTATTCGGAGGCATATTTGTGGTTAACGGCTGCTAGAAAGTGACGCGGCGGGTCAGCTGGCCGTGAAGGGCGCACAAATGAGGCAGCAGTGGGGAATTTAGATTTGCCTTGAGAGAGTCAGTTAGAGGTAGTTATCAATTACACACAAGCAGATAAACATATGTAGCAGATGGTGTGTCTGGTCTTACAGGTAAAGTAACGAATGCCTTTGTGACATCCGTCGTGTTTGCCACGGGCTGAGTCGTCCCATTCTACGCCGAGCCATGTCCCTGTTGTACCTGAGACTTCACCGACGAATCTCACCGTGCAGAGAGCGCCATCGTATGAGATGCGTTGGCCAACGTGGTGCGTCTTTGTCATTGTTTATGTTTCGGGGGGTTTCTCGCTATATCACAAAGATGGGCTTTCGTTGTTCATATTGAGGAGGTTAAAGATGGGAACTACAGAATAAGAGGATCCTTAGGGCACCGGGATTTTTGAGGTTAATGATACAACAGCTATAGCCTCAGACAGCACCAAAATACTGAAGTTGACTAATGGTTTTCACACATGATAAGATCATTACACTTGTTGCTAAGCGCAATTTGGGCAATTTGGTAAATTAAATTAATTATATATTCGAAGTATTGCCGTTAATCCTGGGTCTCCCCGTGAGCTTGACCGAAAAGTTAGAGAATGAATCCGAATAATGTGTGATAAACCCACTCGCCGTACAATTTCAAATTATTGAGACATGTGTATGTGATAATATGTCCTCATAAGACTACCCTACTCAATCGTGTGATTGTCACAAGCTTCCTAGGCAAGTAGGTAGTATTCATGATTTTTTTGCATATGGGACATCTCGCCACAGGGTAACTTCATCAATGACTTGCCCGTCCACTTTTCAAAGTCTCCTCATCTCACCGTTAGCACCAACACTCATCGTAAACCAATACTTTACAATGCCGTCTTCTTCCATAGAATGCCAGCATCGCTGTGCCCAAATGTTCTCAATGGCAATGTTTATACAAGATTTATCGACTCGCACCAATCTTCTCGACCAGCGACGTCCAGCTTCACAACCTCAATGGTCTCAGAAAGCCTCGCCTTCTACACCAAGTCCACCATCTGATCCATCGATACAACAAATGAGCCAGCTACCAGACAGAACCATCTGAGAAGAGTCAACGAACTGCATACGATCGGGGTCCATAGGAGTTACACAAAAACTGGTGAGATTACAACTCAGCAATATAACATCACCAACCAATTTGTTCATCACGAATATCACGCATTTGTTCAATGAAGCCCATATGCTAATTATTCACTCAAGGAAATCAATTGGTAACAAGCTAGTTACAGTTTCGGGCCAAATCTAGCCTTTGGTGGTCATACAAGTGTAGAGAGTGTCGGTCATCAAATTCAATGCCTAAACATTTTCATGTGGCATTCTGGTATCGTTTCGCTCAAAATCAATTCGCTCGGCCAATTCTTCCCTTGGCCTGGTCACATTCCTCCAAAAATCGGTAGATACCTTCGAGGCCTTCATAGTCTTCTGATGGTCCAGCTATTGAAGAGCTGTCTGGAGGTGACATCGCCTCGTATCCCTCGGTCTCAGCCAGCCATGGACTATTTATCATTTCGTCCAGATATGACTGCTGAACAAAGTACTCCTCGTCTAGAGTCGAGATTTCATCAGTTTCGTAGCCCTCTAGTGATCGGACTGATACGCTGGGGGTCAAGGCTGACTTCATGCCATCGGGAGCGAATGGGAATCGGAGGGCAACCGGAACACCGACTGTACTGTCAAAGTCGGCATCTTGGCCCACCACACCACGCTGAATACCAATGTCATCGCAAAGTCGCTCAATGGTCTCAGGGTCAACACCTGGAAAGCGGACTCGAAGAACGTTATGCTTCTCTAATAAGACTGGGAGGTCACCCAACACTGCAAGCCTGCGGAGGTCGGCATTGATGGCCGTAAGGTCTTGCAAGGCTCGTCCAAAGTCAGAGGACAAAACATCGAGGAAACCCTCAGTGTTGAGGGAAGCGCCACCAGCAGCGGCCTCAGCCTTGAAACCAGAGGTCTCGGAGGCAAAGGGAATAGCCGCAGCGAGAGGGCTCAGAGCTGTGACGGTAGGGCTGAGCTGGAAGTCGATGAAGGAGCCGGGAGCGGAGTGGCAGAAGGCGGAGAGCTTGTGCATCGCCTGGTCTTCGACTGGTGACACAGCACGATATTGTCGCTCGCCTCGAGGCCCAAGACCATCGTAACGGAGCTTTTGGCCGGAGAGGAAAAACGCTCTCATGGCTTGGGAGACGTTCTGCACAACCTGGGCCGGAGCTGCCGGAGTATGCGAGAAATACCGAGCACTACCTCCGAGGCTGTATCCGCCAGCACTGCGAGGAAAAGCACCACCGGTCAGATTCGGCCGAAGAGCATTGGCAAAAGGAGCTCGGCCGGAGAACTGAGCAACACGTCGAGATGTGTTCGAAGTCGGGAGCTTGAATCGATCGAAACGGGTAGCCTTGGGTTCGGAGCTAATGAATCTCCTAATGACTCGATTGACATTCTGAGCTGCGGAGCTCGAGAACCATCTAGTATGGCGCTTCTGCTGCCGAAGCACAGCAACGGGGTGAATAGGTTGACGAGCAACTCTGGCGGTTCTGAGAGTAAGTTGGGATTGCAGGGGCCGCGTCATGAAGACGAGCTTGGTCCGAACCACATTTGTGGTTTTGGCCACAGCGACTTTGAGAAGCCGTCGGGCCATCGGACCCAACAGCGCCTCTAAAGACGCCATAGTGAAGCTTTTCTTTGTTTCCAATCCAACGGTGTTGGAAAGTGAGGTGCGTAAGCTGAAGTACAACGCATTCAGCTCGGGCGGTATGAGGAGGTCCTTTATGGCGGTGATAATTCGCCACAGCATGCGCCACACGGTAAGGACCGGGTGGGGGGTTGCGGGGTTCATCTAGCACGAAACAAGGTTAGTGCGGATGTATAGTCAGCAATTGTGACCTCCACCGACAATAAATTTTCTTGTCTTCGTTTTCCCTTCGCTCAAACCTCTCCCTCTTCATTCCTCAAGGTCTGGATCGCGCACACGATACAAAGCCGTTGTCAGCCTTGCGCGACCATGGCCTTGGATTTACTACAGGTAAGAATTTTCCCCTCTCCCTGCTTTATTTTCTACTTCACATGATGAATATCATACACGAACAATCCAAATCAGACCAGCACAATGGTGATATAGCAATCTCTAGAATTACACTGAGAAGCTTTGGACCTCAGAACCGGCAGGATGTTTTTGTCACGAACCTCTTACTGACCAGTCACTAGTTTTGTTTGTTCACCTGTTAGCCGTTCAATGGACGCGTCTCCCGATTGAGTGCGCGTCATCTCTTGCTATACACTGAAAAGGTTGGTACATAATTTCCTTTATTTTTTCCAAACCCTCTCCGAGTGATGATCAAAACGACACCTTAGGGATTCCTCATTCTTAATATACTATGTGGATACTGTTGTTATAAGTTTCAGCCTTGTCTGACTGGAGATCACAACGCCTCGTTTGCTTGCACCGCTTTCTACTGATGCAATTGCTAACTCGCGCTTGTTAATAGGTAAATCTCATCTTCCCTCTCAAGCGCTCCCAGCCACTTTATGATGAAGATTTGAACGAACGGGCGGACATAAATGAGTACTGCTGCCTCCCGCCCTAGAAAAGCAAGGACGTACAAATCCTTGTGGTGGGTGTGTAGTGGGACCTCTTGTTGATACTTCGTCACCTGATCGTGGCTCCTGTGGAAATGGATTCTTGTCGATATCTGGTAGAAGAACTGGTGGCTGACTGTTGAGGATCTAGGTACTTGGAACAAAGAATTTTTGCTCTTGCATACACATCCCTTTTGTGATGAGTTGTTTTTTTAGTATTCACACTGTTTGACTCTTGGTCTTCGGATCTTGGGATATGAACACAACATCAACATCTGATTGATTGGTATGCTTCCGATGCCGTCTATACGCGATTCCATGGCTAACCTGTCTAGATCTGATCTTGCGCTTTTGTTGCCAAACTCAATGATGACGGACGCTAACTCCGTCATAGCCTCATAGATATATAGTAGACATTCTAATGTCATGAATGGTAAGACGGCATTTTCCTTACGCACATCTGCACACCCCTACCATATGATGACTCTGCTATTATTAGCTCTATCCGAGTTCATCGTGACGAACAACCTATTCACCTTGGAGAACTGATATGGTTTTCTACCTACGTTTTTTTCTTTCAACTTTGCAAAAATGTCATAGCTAACCATGTTCATTAGATTTAACGATTAATGATCGTAAAGTTATCGTACTTGGAGAAATATGTAGCTTGAAAATATACAATTTACCAAGCCATGCTATCTATGCCTTTCTTTTTGTAACTACGTGTGATTGTTGCAGATGTTTCCTACCTGGGAATGGAATAGCTATATCCGTAGATATCCATTTTTACGCCTGTCTGTCGTGTTCTCGTTCACTCTATGGCATGTACTAAACTTATTTCTTGAGCTGCAGCCTCGCGTTCATTCCAACAATGCAGCGGATCAAATCCCAATCATCCTTGTGGCCTACCCAGTCGGTAACGACGACTCCTGTACCTGCAGAACCGATCTTGAGCTTGTTTGGCCCCTTACCATCCTCGCCGTGGCACATGCAGAGGTATTCGATAACAGAGGGGTTGACCTTGGCGGCAATACGCTCTGGCCAGCAGGTTGCGTTGAAGAAGTTGCTTGCTGTAAGGAAGTTGACGAACAAGGGGGGTAAACTAGCATCCTCCTTATGACCATTCATCCCGGCGAGAGCGAAGGTCTGCTCAGCAGCGCGTTCGAGTTGCCGACGGCAGTACTCGATCTTTTTCTCAATATTCTGGCTCTCGGTAATCTCGTAAAAGTCTTGGACACGGATAATACCTCCTGGCACCTCGCCGTCCTCGCAATTATCGGGCCAGGCGCCTGCGTCAATACCCCAACCTCGACCACCCCAGCATGTCTTCTTCATCTCGCCGTCCAAGTTAAAGCGGCGGACGATGACAATGCGACCACGGGCACCACCCAGAGTTGGAATCCTGGGCTCAGTCCACCAGCGACTTCGTCTTTTATCGACGTAGCTGTGCTTCAGATATTTTCCGAGTTGTTCGTCGTTGCCCCTTCCAGTACCTTCGCGCTTTATACTCATGATGACAGTCTCACTGCTGTTCTCGTCGAGGAACTTGTAAATATCCTCGAGCATGTGTTTGAAGTACTTTGTGCCAGTCAAGGAAATGGGAAACACACTGTGGACTAGAGCGAGTTCATCATCGTCAGGACTCACGGATACTCGAACGTCGAGGAACCGAACACCATTCTTGAGTTGCTCCAAGACGTCGACTGCTTGACATCGAACAGAAGGAAGAGCAGTATAGCAGGTAGGAGAATTGTGCGTGCCAGGGATCGAAAGCAGAGTGAGTGGCCAGTCGTCGTGAAGCTCGTGCATCCAGCGATGCAGCTGGGCAGAAGAGAAGATGGCAAGAAAGGCACCGTTGGGGGTATAAACGACAGTGAGATCATGTTTGCCTCCGTCCAGGTTCTTCATGACAGAAGATTTGTTGGAGGGGCTGGGGATGTCGACCTGATACTTATGATCCTCATATTTGAAGGTAAGACGGACCACCTCCTTATTCTTGTCGGCGGCTCGAATGCCAGAATCCTTGGTCTTAAAGGGCTCAACTTTGACAGAGGCATTTTCCTTGTGGATGGGGTCCCCCTTGGCCTGGGTTTGGCGAGAGCTGAAGTCGGTAGCCTTGATGAAGCCACTGATATGGCTTGTCATATTTGAGAGGACATTGCCGGTTCTCACAGTCTGGCCCTCGAACCTTTCGATTTCAATAAGCTCGATTGGGTTGATAGTAAGATTGCGAATGGTGAGGTGAGCCATGGCTACGGTTGTCGCAAATAAGGTGGCCACTAATTGAATGGAATGATGGCGCTTATTGCGAAACCTCGTGGAAAGTGGATGAAGCTACTGAGGTAAGTATCCAAGAGGGGGTTTGTTGGGGTGAAATAATAAAGACAGCCAAGCAGGAAAGACCGGAGGGTAAGCTCCTCTCGCGTATACAGACCAAGGGAGTCGAGGCCAAGATCTGAGTCTGAGTCTGAGTCTGAATGTGGTAGGGGTAGGGGAGGTTAGAAAGCTGGGAGCTTCTGAAGCTCACCTACCTTATGGAGCTATCCGAGGCGGGCCTAGTTCTGCGTGGGCGGGGGGCCGGGGCCAGTTTTCATGTCAATTGGACCCCTCGAATAAAGTGGCGGGGAAATGGGAGGAAACACCCAAAAGACGGTAAAAGCCTAACTAAACAGTGAGCTACCTTACTGTATCATGGGAGCTGAAGTCATCCCAGCTTGCGTCGTCGTCCTTCGTCATCATTGCCAAGGGTGCCAAGTGAGGGAGACTCCCTGAACCAAGGCAGACCTTTCATCTTGGGTGTTTCATCTGGCGCCGACACACTGATGAAGGTGAGCTTACTACAGCTAACAGATTGGGCTGGAATAAGCCTTCCAAGCCCTTCTCAAACGAAGGGCAGAACTGTAAAAGGCCCAGCGCATAACGGCTCAGTGTGGGCGTTCCGACTTGGCCGATGAACAATTCCGTCGGGGAACCAACAATGGATAGGCTGAACACACAAAGTAAGGCTGAAGCTGCACATTGAGTTGAATGGGTGTCAATAGGTAACCTATTTCCACGGTTGCCAGACTAATTGCACCAGCTCGACTTGGCTGATCCCGATCCTCTGAACCGGGACAGACAAACAATGGATAGTGTGCATGCTAGTTTAGTAGTTAAAAGGGACCGAGGGATAGGATGACCGTGCACCATCTGCCCAAGCGACCGAGCTACAGTACCATTCCATTGGAAAGGGGGGGGAGCTGCCTCTTTTTTCCTGGTTTTCCCTACGTGATGATTGAAACGTTGACGCCTTAGCGTTGGGGGAATGCGATCATGGCGGGAATGGCGTTGGAAGGATGCGATTATTCAGAATCGAGAGCGCTAAGAACCAGGCGAGTCTGTTATTGATTATTCCCAAGTAATTGGTTTCTTTGTTGAGAGTAGCTTGAAGATTGCTCGACTTCAGTAGAGGCGTGAAGGTCAAGGTGAAGAAGAACGGCACGGTCATGTTGAAGCTGAGAGGTGTTGTAACACAACACAACAAGCATTTCCAACACAGATAGCCCAGTATTATAGCATAAAGGTTAAGAAAGAGACAGAAATAATAGGCCAAGAAAACTCCTATTAGATTTGTTATCACTCTATATCACGAGTTGGGAGTATCTTCTGCTGATTATTCGCATCTCAAGAATACTCTTTGTCAATAGCAGACGGCATTGTGGATATTCGCCTGACATGAAGATCCCAAAGATCTCATAGACAATAAATCGCCTTTCTTTTTTATTAGTACTATAGTTAAATGATTATCATTTCAATCTGTGGCTGAGACAAAGCAATGGTTCTCGTATCGAATCAACAATTAATTCCGCTCTATTACATGAACATCACCAGCCTTCAAGTTCTGGCTGGTTAAGGAAGAATGAATGAATGAATGAATAAACTCCCTAACCCCATGCATTTCATCGCTAGTCGTAAAAAGGCCGTCAATATTCTTCTCAGTATTGCTGTTCTCTTCTCAGCATCCCGGGATGCGAAGTCTAGGTAACACAGGCCCAAAGAAACACTCAAATCCACCTTCACCAGGTTCGTTGGAAATGCTTGCCCGTGATTACCCAACAACCTCCTAACTTAACCATTTACAGACATATGACATGGTATTGTTTCGTCTAATGACTTGTTCGCCGTCTCTTAGTAGGGGCCAAGTCTTCCTCATCATCCGGGTCAAGTCGAAGTGAAGGCCCAGCACGTTTCTGGATGAGACCCCCGATAACATCTCGGCTTCCAATGACATTACCTGTTCCCTCAACATTCAGGCCCGCATCAACCTGGATACTCAAGGGCCGAGGGCAGCCAGACTCGTCAATCATTGGAATGCCGCAACGGCCAGAGCTTCCCTCGTGTAAAGCTTGTACGACGGCCTTGGCTATAGCATTGGCCTGTTCCGCAGGAGTAGCTGTCAGGCACACGATGTTGTTGTTTCGTGAAACATTGACAGATGTGTCGATTTTGAGGCTTATGGGCGAGCTTCCCTCAGATGTCTCGTCTTGGTCATCATCCACACTATCGGAAAGCAGGGAAGTGCCGGTGGTTTGTTGGGGCTGAGGGCGTAGGATGTTTCCACCCACGTTAGGGAGAGTATCCCGCCTCTCTTGAATAATTCTGGCCATCATGGCAGTGAAATCAGTGACAGGGACTCTTCGTGGTGTATAGGCTGGAGGAGGACTGTTCTCCTTAGGGACTTCGACTTGGGGATCCTGAGGTTGAGAAGTATTGTTGGGAGCGTCCATGGTTTTTTTTATATGTAAGGGAAGATGTATTTGTGTGCTCGGGTAACAATTCTCTCTGGAGGAAAGGAGAGGAGAGTCAGGTGGTGTTACTGGATAAGAAGTTTGTCTTGGTTTAGGAGAGGAACTCCAGTGCGACAGGTCTGTCATATATAATTCTAAAGGTTTCTCGACAAGATCTTGTCCTCGACACAATAGGTAAGACCAGGGGGCGAGGTGGTGGCCGAGAGCTATGCGCCACGTGTGATAGTGCTGTCTCTGGCTTGCTGGGGCTGAGGTGACGCGAGGATGAAGTGATTTCTGGATAGAGTTAAGAGGTTCAGAGAAAGATGTTCCGGAAGGGAAGTGGGAAAGATATCTAGATATAGATGGGCTGAAGGGAGAATAAGAAAATGGGGAACTGAGCAAGTTTCCTCCTGTAGTGGTCTTGGAGTGTTGGACAATACCAACACTAATCATAATAAAATAGATCCTATTCAACACCTGATGGATTGTCTACGTGGAGCCAAGTTGGGATATCTGCAGTGAGGGACAAGTACATGAATACACAGCAGACAAGATTTGTAGAAGAATCCCATCTACCCGCACGGGAGAAGGGGGTGTAGGGGGTAAAATGGCATGCATCGACTTCAGGCTGAGACTTTGTACGCCATCATTTCATCTGCAACTACAATAGGGCACAATAATAGGCACGGGAGGAAGAATGGATCCCATAGCGCTCAGGCATAACTGCCATTTTTCTGATTCAGTCAAAAAATAAATAAAAATACAAGCCACCAACATGGACACAACACGATATGTCACAAACACCAGAGGTAGGCTAGTGGCTACCTAGCTAGGCCAGCATAATGTCGTGTGCCATGGCGTGGCCAAGCTAGGAAGAAAGATACTTGCAGCCTCAGCCGAAACTAACGTCCGTCAGGCCGGGTTCAATGTCTGCATTGTGCCTACTGTACACAGGATATGCTCTCGCGAAGGATTTCGGACTTATTCAAACGGGTATTGTTGATCTCTCTCATCAGACTCTATGCACGCCCCCTCCACATACGCAGAAGATGGCTGAAACCAACGCGATGACCACCTACCACTGAATACCATCACAGTGGAATGGGATGGGTTTCTAGTACCGGATAGGGCAAACTTGTCACGCCAAATCCTGTATCAGGGTACATACAATGCGTACATTATCATGGCTCGCCTGTTCTTGCTGGCGGGCCTTATTGCCTATTGGAGCAGTTGGATGGTTACATGTTCATTTTGCCTGGTATTATCACCTGCATGAGTTCAGACGGTAACATGCAGGTATCAAAATTTGACCAACAGAATCGAAAGAACTTTTGAGACAAAATCCAGGCTTTGTCATATATGATATTGGGGAGTTTCAACGCAAGGTTTCGGAGATCAACAATACTACCTAAACTACCTGTAGCACGGCATGAATAAGTTCAGGGAACAAGAGGAAGCACTGAATGAAGGAACCATCAGGGTCCGTAACCTTCCTACATAGATACATCTAGTACTTATTCGTTAGCTCGTCAACAGATGATCGTTTATTGTATCACTTTTCTTCATGATCATCACATTCTAGAGACCAAGTCATCGATGCCAACCTCAGTGCAGTAAAGAGCTGGCTCTAAGGTTGAACACCAGTCAGTCACGACCGACATTGGAAAAGCGAACCTTTTAGCAGGACGTGGTTGGCCGATGCGAAAGCGGAAGGCGTGAAGGTGGCTCTCGGGGCGCGGCTTGGCGGCTTGTTGCTTCCTATTGTCCCCAGACGCGCTTGGTATTGTTGTCGAATAGCCCGCAGTCCCGATCGAATGGGTTGAATCGAGGCACCGACCACGGGCGACACCTGCCGCCTATTCGCTTCCTATTGAGACCCACTTCGGGTTTAGCGCCCGTGGTCCAGGTCCACATTTACGGACTCCTGCCGCCTTCCGCATCCTCCAAAGTCTCATTCTCCCTCCAACTTTCATAACTCAAGCTCGCTTCTGTATACCTCAGCCAACACAAATGTACCCATGACAGTCGACAATAGAAGATAGATACGTCCCCCTTACGAGCTTCCCTTCTTGGGCTGACAAGTGCATGTTCCAAACGGTCACAACCATCTATCATCCCTGCCGTGATGCATCTCGGGGACTTACACCCTTCAGACGGTCTACCACACCACCACCACCTCCTTACCGACAAACAATATCTCATTGCCCACTCACACTCTGTATAATTCGCCGAAGGAAACCTTGCCCGTTCAATTTCCCAACAAACAAACAAATGTCCATGCACTGGTCACCAACGTCTACCAGGTCCGCGGCGTCATATCTTGCGTCCGCACCTCCTGCAGAACCATAACCAGTTTAAGCGAAGCAGCCTTTTGACTGCCAACCCATCTCCTCGGTTCTGCTGTTTATTCAAGCTTGGGCCCTGGCCCCAATTTTCACTTTCCATGCCGCCTTAACCTTCAGCGTCCAAGCCCAGAATACC